CAGACTACCAGCACACCATCGATACCATCAAAACCACCATCCGGTCATCCAAGCTGGGCAGCAATGTCGATGAGCAAACAGTGCGCCAGCCCAGCAACGAGGAAGCTGTTGACCAAAAAAGCCAGAATGAAGGCCGACAGGCAACTGCACGAGGAGTACACTGTGCTATGCAAAGAACTACGGATTCGCTAGGATTATGACGAGTACAAGAAAACGAAGCTAAGAGAGGTCGTATTAAAGAATAACAACATTAACGCCGCGGAAAAGGGTATCCTCGTAAAGAGCGGATTCCTTTTGCAACAGAAGACGAAGAAGGAACAAGAACCACATATCGACGTCGCATGAAGGCTATCTGCATGAGGTTCAGCAACAATCTCAGCTCCTCGAAGATAGAGGTAAACCGAAAGCTGTCGCACTGGAAGCCGTTCTCGATGTCATCTGGAACGGAATAAAGTGGACAATCAAGGATATCAAGATTGACAGATGTCCAGATAGCGATGGCATAAAACTGAAACATCTCAAGTTTAGCAGGAATGACCGTGCTCAAAGCCTTTGCCGAACGATTTGCAAAGATCATCAGGTTGAAAAAGACGACAGAAAGAGAAGAGTTCTTTGAAAATTATTCTATTCAAGCAAGGTACTGCCAAAAGATGGTGAAAGTTCTCCAGAACTATCGACCCAACATTTTCTGTCACAAGTCTACAAGGTCTTTACCTGAATCATCGTCAACTGTATCCGGAAAGACCTGGAACTGTTCGCTAATAAAGAACAAGACCGTTTCACAAATTTCTTTACTATGGACTAGATCCGCTTCGTGATGCAGTTAACAGAGAAGTGCAAGGAATATCAATTCCGCAACTGCTACACATTCATCGATGTTTGATTCCTTTGAAACTGACTGCTATACTGAACGCTTTGCACGACTGCGGTATCTACCTTGCCTACCTGATCGAAGAACTGAACACTGAGACCACAACTGCCATCAAGAAATTCGATGAACCATGTCGAATTAATATCAAAAGAGTTTAGTACGCAAAGGGGACACCGTCTGTTCTAAGCTTTTGGCAACTGCGCTGGAATTCATCGTTAACCTGTGAACTGGATCGACGGCATTAACATCTACGAAAAACGGGTCATCTATCTGCTTTAAGCAAGTAACGTCATCGTCATCGCAAAAGACCCGGCGGATCTTCAAATAAAGACTATACATTTCCAGAGGGAGTCACATCAGTCGAGAAATGAACATGTCCAAGACGAAATGGATGCGCAACTGACGCTGCTCCACGGGCATCATCTTGATTGACGGCGAAAAGGTAGAAAAGGTTGCAAGCTACTTATAACTCGGTCACCTAACAGACTCCAAAAATAACAATAACGGCGAAATCAGCAGAAAATGGAAAGCAGCATGGGTAACTTCCAGTCCCAAAAAACATCGCTGCTGGATAACGAATTGCCCATATCCACGAAGAAAGAACTGTTCTACTCCGCCGTCCAATCCGTCATCATCTTTTGGCAGTGAGTGCTGTCCTATAAGCAGTACTGAGGAAGAGAAGCAAGTAGTAACGCAAAGGGCGAAAGAAAGAAAAACATGCAATGTCGCCCTTGGAGGCAATGTTCCAAGTGCGATATTTCGGTGCCAGACACGTTTTCTGGATCTACTCACTGCCATCTACAACGTGAAGAAACTATGGCTGGCCATGTGGCTTCTCTGAAGGTCGATAGGTGGGCATTCCGTTAACAACTGAATTCCCTCCCCAGCAACAGATTCCACTCGGTCGTCCACTAAAATGCTGGGACGAACCAATGACGAAGCTGTTTGATCAACGACGTAAGTAAAGGGCACAAAAATGAGAAGAGTGGCGGAAAGTCGATTGGGGTTTGTGGCGCGGCAGTTGACGAAAACAAGTGGGAAAGAAAGATAATTCATGAAGACTAAAGCATACCATTTCAAGAGAATAACTGGGCATCGACCTTTAAAGTATCGATGATAAAATCTATATATGGTTTAAACTATTCAGCACACACTTTAGGCGACGCTTCGAACTTCGGCAAAAACCTCGCCTGTGCTTTTCGTTAGACTAAAAGCTAGACTAGCTGCAATGTTTCATTGAACATTTAATGCTGTATAGTTAGTTATAGCTTTTAGAAACTAACAGCAGCGTGTGTGAATTTATTTAAAAGTGTTATGAGAGCATGACGATGAGATCGAAGATTTACTTATTTTTCACATCATAACCACATGTTATGCTCTAAATGACTAAATTAGAGAACAAAATTTCAGACCTTAAATACAGAGTGCAAATGCGTTGCTAGAAGTAGGAATTTAATCGCAGTCAAGAAAACAACAGAGAACTTTTAGCATGAGCACATTAAAAAACATTCCATGTGATACAACAGAATCGAAACCTATGCAGAGGCCAGAAATAACTCATTCATTACTTACTTTTTCAACGACGAGCGAACTGACATGCATAAGGCAAGCGTTGCAAAAATGCTAGCCTCCTTTAAGTTATATTTGGCTATTAGTTTCAGAACGATATCCGTCTAAGAAGTTAACTGACGTTGCGACACTAATAATGACCTAGAAACTTGACCTATAACTTTATGCGGTTGCCCATGGAAGTCCCTAAATTAAAGATGAAATACTAACTCGTTTGCAGCTGACTCAAATTAAACGATCTGTGAATGTCAATGTCAATCGCTGGTTTGTATTTTGTTTTTATAAAAATCAATATAAATCATATTTTAATCCTGGTCGTAAAAAAGAGCCACTGACCTGAATTTACAAACTCATTTTGACGAGCCCTGCCATTATGGGTTTTGAAAACCTTTGGCGCTGTGCCGCAGCTATCAACAACGTTTTTCGCATCCTGCGATTTTCGTTTAGGTCTGTTTCGGACTATATCGTTGGTAGCGCTGACCGCTGCTGCATAGACGTTATCGACCGTCGTCGTCAGCGTTCCTCCGACCTTCGGGTAAAACGAGAAATT